AATGATAATCACACTTTGGTGTCTGAAATGAACCTGACGTGTTTTGTTTTGGGAGTTTGGAGAATGCTTGAGTCACTGGAAACCTAAAGCCACACAAGCATACAAACTGACATTTTTACTTTCTCGTTGAGACGCACCACTGTCCACAGATTCGATAAAATTGATGCCACTGAAGCAGTTTGTGGAGATGCAACTACCCAAAAGTCAGGGAAACCTCAGGAGCAACTCACTGTGTGTTAACCCTTTAATAGTCTGCAAATTGCAGAAAATTGTCACGCTCAGTCTGTGTATCTAACTGTTCAAAGTGTTGCTGTTTTACACTGTGTATTCTGGGGTAAAATGTCCGGTCAGTGGAACAAACACATGACAGCTCACATTTAGAATGCCAAGTACCGCCTCCTGCCATTTATATCACCATGGAAACTACCAAATACACAAGGAGCACTCTCATCAGTTTCAACTCAACGTACTGCAGGCCACACGAGATGGTCGAGTTTGCTCTCAATCTATAAAGCATGTAACCCAAATAAAACAACAACATTTATCTAACCTCGGTGCGTAACTCATGATCATCATGACTCATGTGAAAGCGGCCCGAATGCCATATATTTAGTGTTATTGGTGAAAAGAAGTTAATGGATGGAAGAGAACTCAGCTGGAGAATCATAATTAAATAACCATCATCATCATTATTATTATTATTATGATTAATATTATTAGACTGTAAGTGTGGGTTTGATCTGCAACCTCGTGCAGTCCAGTATCACTACAAGGAGAAATCAGTCCAGTTGTGACCGGATGGCGTCATACAAGTCGGACGGCACCGAATCTTTTTCTGCAAAGTATAATAAATACGCTGCGAAGTGCATCATCGAACTGAGGAAGAATGGCTCCAAAAAAGCGGGTGAAAATGCCGAGTAGAACGTGACGCACGCTCTCCGGTGTGACATGATGCGGTCGATGTGTCGACGAACCGCAAATGATCCTCGACATAAAGTAACGTTTCTTGACCAAGCTGCTCGAGACCGAGGTAGCGAAATCGCGCGAGCGCCCCCCTCTCTTCTTACCTGCATGGTGCGCCTCACCCAGGCGGACCTCGGTGGTGCTACTCGGGTCACTCTGAGATCTCCCTCGCTGGAAAGCGCAATCATCTCCCAGGCAGTCAGATGATGCCATGTTTACGAGAATAATGGCAAGGGAAAGATAACAGTCGCGCCCACCGCCGGCCAAGGTGAGTGGCCGGCAAATGGTGCAGACGATGAAATAATGCAGCTGGACCGATGCGATGCTGCGGCTTCTGGTCGTCGCTGAGAAGCAGCGCGGAGGAAAGTCATCACGCGCGTCGCATATCCTGCCGCCTTCAAGTACCGCTCGTAGAGCCTCAGCTAATACTATTAACCACTTCTTGTCACAATTATTACCCGTTCTGTCTAGCGTATAGGACAGAATCTTCAAGGTTTTTTGTGAGGAAAAAAAAACAGAACCAAAACTTCGATGGAGGACTTCGATCAGGGCTCATAAAGGCCACTTTAGAATAGTCCAATACTTTGCTCTTAGCTTTTCTTCTACATGACAGATGTCCATATTTTGACTTGTGTTTCAAGTGGGGTTACATGAAAGTCAAATATACAAAATGAACAATGTTGCTCTGAACAATTTTGCAGATGCGCGGGAGATTGTGAGTCATGCGTGGCTTTTGATGACGTGTCCTGTAGATCGAATGCGAGCAACCTGAGCGTCTCTATGCAGATGCGTTGGACACAGATCCAATTTACACACGAAAGAGGCTCGGCTTAGATTTGAACACATTTTAATTTGACTCTTCACGTTGCATGAAAAAACAACAGTCGCACACACAAGTCACGTACGGGCAAAAAAATTGATTTAACCTGCAGTGTGCGATGCAAGTGGGTGCGCAAGGATTCATGGCAACCCTATTCGAATGCAGCCAAAGTTAACCTGGACTGCGTCACAGGCGGAAGTGATGTCATTAACATGGCGGAAGAAGAAGTTGATCGTTCAACTACCACTGAGTCTCCAAGAGCCATTTCAAAGCAGTCTTCTCAAGATGAAAACACAAAATCTGGGAGTCCTGCGCCTGAATACAACCAGGATCTTCGAAGCGTGCTTGTTACCAGTGTTTTAAACGTGGAGAAGCTCGACGAAGACCTGTACAGGTAGCTTAGCTGCGGGCCATTACGTCGTACGTTGTGTCAACTCTTGAGTCAGTGTAGCCGGAAGTGAACATGCCACCTCAAAAAGTGCTGCATGCATTAAGTTCATTCAGCGCACTTGTAGTACTGTTGAATACGTGCTCAAATGGCTTGCCTTGAAACATGTGAAATAACTTTACAATATTTCGGGTGAAATTTTCTTTTTTTTCGCCCCCCCTCCTCAGGGGGACACATCACTGGGTGCCCCAGACTCAGCGTTTATTTGGGGGACAAATCATCGGTCAAGCACTCGTTGCTGCTGCCAAATCTGTCAGTGATGATCTCAACGTCCATTCCCTCCACTGCTACTTTGTACGAGCAGGTAAGTTGTAGCCTGGCTACGTTCACACTGCAAGGCATGATGCAGTTTGGATTTTTATTTTTTGTTCAGTTTTTTTATTTTTTTTTTTATGTACTCATTCATATTTCAAAAACACGTGACTCAGAAGGTGATCAGAATTGCGTCTTGCGTTCCATCCAACCGTGTTCTGCTGTGCTTATCTGAGTTTCAAGCCATCAAGAATTGGTGATGCCAGTTAAAGGCTGAACATTCTGTTGAGCATATTTGGCATGAATGGATAAAACTATTAAAACCAGAGCGGATGACATTTTTCTATTTTTTTTTCATCTTTGTATTCTGTGTTCAATTGAGACACTGAGAGTTCGCTCCCAGCTGAACCTCTTGTGTTTTATGTTAGGAGACCCTGAGGTTCCAGTATTGTACCAGGTAGACCGCACAAGGGATGGTCACAGTTTTACAGTGCGGTCTGTGAAGGCGATCCAGCACGGGCAGCCTATACTGATCTGCCAAGCATCCTTCCAAACGTTACAGCCAAGCCCATTGCAACACCAGTTCACTATGCCAGTGGTCCCTAAGCCTGAAGAGCTCCTTACTGTGGAGGAACTCATCCAGCTTTATCTCAGGTAGAAAACGCCACTACGAATCCACGTTTTTTTTGAAAAAGTGACTTCCGGAAGGTCCTGTGTGAAGTGTTTTTCCCAACTCTTTAGTTGGCATGAGATTACATGACCTACATTTGAGTTTGCAGTCTTGAAATTGCTCGCAAAACTTGAATGTAGCCTCACTGTTGTATATATATTTTGCAGGAAATAAGTTTGATTTATTGTCTTATTTGTCCAATTGACTCTTGCAGTAAACCTGGCCTGGCTGAAAATTTAAAACAGGGCCTTAACAAACTGCTGGCAATTGAAGTGCCTATTGAGATTAAGCCAGTCAACCCTCCACAGTTTTCCAGGCACGCCGTGGAAGAACCAAAGAAACTCTACTGGGTGCGAGCCAAAGGATACATTGGTAAAGTTGTCTTCACCGGTTTGACGATGATGGTGATAATGACCAAAGCAATTGCAATGTTCAGTGAATTGAAAGGGAACTGCCTTGCACTTCATTTGTGTCTTTTTGCACAGGTGAAGGCAACATGAAGTTGCATTGCTGCGTGGCTGCCTACGTGTCAGATTTTGCCTTTCTGGCAACTGCAATCCTGCCTTACCCCAACTTCAGGGTCAAGTTCTCCGCCTCCCTGGACCACGCCATGTGGTTCCACAGCACTTTCCGCAGCGATGAGTGGATGTTGTACGAGTGCGAGAGTCCATGGGCAGGTCAGCATCTTTATGGTTGCTTTCCATCCAACTGCTCCCCAAATGTGCTTGAGAAGACACGCCTGCATTCCCTTTGTCATAAATGTTGCCGCAGTGCTTTAATCTATGTTACAGACTTGTGTTAAGGACACCATACTTAGGTATGTTTTAAACTTGTGGTCACACAGGGGGCAGTCGAGGACTGGTTCAGGGCAGACTGTGGAGAAGAGACGGGACGCTGGCTGCCTCTTGTTCGCAGGAAGGCGTCCTCAGAGTCAAAGAAGTTACTGAGCGGAGCAAGCTATAGGCGCCTCTCCCACACGGTTTTCAAAGTTGTATTTATTTTTATTTATCTTATAAAAACTATGACTTTTTTTATGCAGTTATACTTTATTTCCACACAATGTTGATTTTGATTCCATCAAGTTTAGTCGGACATTAAGGTATCACAAGTATTGAGTTGGAAAGTTTTCTACTATAGAAACTAATCTCAGACATGAAAACATTGTGAAAGTGTTCATCAGGGGCTCCCAAAAGATTTAAGATGGGACAATGCGTTTCTCTATGTACCACATTTGGCAGACTTCAGACTACTTGATTTTCATCACGTTCATTTTACTTGTCAAGGAGTTTAACACTGCACAACGCCTGCTGACTTAGGTTGTTGTTCTCCAGTTCTGAAAGGCAGAAATAAATGAAATCCTCTTTCAAGTATGTTTGAAATTGAACTTCCTCGGCAAGGCAAGTTGTGCCTACAAATCTAACAGCTTTAAAATGACAAAACAGCAATTTTAATGGTTCTGCACGTAGGCCCAGGTGATGACTGCAGTGGAATGTAGCACAATAGTTGAGTGTTAATTGGACAAAAACTGCATAGGAATGCACATTGAACACGATACCTTCAAAGTCACATCATTAAAGTGATGCCTCGTCTGATTTTTTTGTTCTTCCCTTGAAGTAAAAAGTCAACACCCAGACATCTTTCTATAATTCAAGATTTGAGCACCCTTTTCAGTGCTGCAACACAATGAAAGGTTGACCTTAACGCAACAGTCTTGTTTTTGATAACAGTTTTACGAGAGGTTTTGAACCTCCGATAAAGTTGACTGACAACATTTTCCATGCTTATTCAAATTGAAATGAAAAAGGGAGGGGGGCATCAGTATTATTTTTTTAAGATGACTCATAAACTCAAGCAAATAGCAACTTTTATTACCACTTGTTTAAAAATCTTCATTTCTCAATCACAATTTGGATACATAAAAGGAGTGCATCAGATCAAGGAGAAACTTCTGGTCTTGAATGTGGTCCAGATTGCAGTTTTGGACTCCACAGCTCCAAAGTGCTCGACTCGGTCCGGAGTTGCGGGCTATTGCTGTCCGGCTTAATCACAGACACATCCAAAGACATTCGAGAGGCAGTAAGGTCACTGTATGACTGGTCAAAATGAGCCTTTTCTCGCTTTTGCAGGAGAACGTAGGGAGTGGATGAATTGCCCTGTAATGGCAATAACAGGCGACAATTTTCCAACTCGTGGCTGTTCAAGTCATTGGGGAAACATGGCTGAGACAGAGATGCTGGATCAGTCGATGTGCTGAGAGAAGTCTTGATCAAAGGTTTGACTTCAGAGCCATCAACTAAACCATCAGATGAAACGCTTGATTTTGACATTCGGCCCAGTGACAAAGTAGAAGGCAAACTCTGTTCCCCAAAGAACTTTCGATCAAGCTCCGATGGTGAAAAGCAGTCAAAACTGCTCAAATCTAAAATGAAAGGAGGGGAAGAGAGGAGGAAAACAAGTGAAATCTCTGAAGATACCGATTCAGCTTATAGTGGACAAAGCTGTCAGGCTTACCTTTAGGAAGAAGTGATTTTTCCATTTGTCCTCCTTGGCAGCCAGTGAGTGAGCGCGATGCGAGCCCCGGGTGGTTTTTAAACTGGTGAGGATACTTGCTAATTGACCCAGCTGGAAGCAGAGCAAGCCATCACGAGGGGGCGGAGAACATGGCCCATTCCACATTTCACATTTGTGAAAAAGGCCCTTCATTTTTAATATATATATTTTTATAATGTTATGAAATCAAAAACAATGTAATTTTCTTCATCGCATACACCTTTTTTATTCGTTAGGTATTTAATTTGTCATGTTTTAGCTGTTGCACAGGCATGAGAAAAAACATCCATATTTGAATACTAATTAGATTTTTGTGTTTACAATAATGTTTGCAAGTAACAGGTTGCACATCCATGCGAATATTTTTCGCTCATGAGTACATGCTCGTTTGGTCAAGAACAATACATATCAACAAAATCATACAAAAGGCTGATTAAAATCTTATTTTATAAAGTGCCATGAAGAGTGTGGGGAAATGGCGTGCTTTCTGTAATCAGTAGAGAGGAATCACATTTATATGGGCGACGTTTGATTTTTTTTTTATAGGGACATGTCCCCAAGCACATAAGTTTGACATTTTGTGCATTACTCATTTATTATTTGATGAGTTTCCGGGTACTGAAAATGTCCTCCAATTCTATGTATTTTATTCAAAATGTTATATTAACTGTATGGAATGACCGTTATGTATTCATCTGTTAATTACGTAGTTTAAAGAGTACACACTAGTAAATATACCTACGAAACGAGGCTGAAATGTATTTTACATACTTCAAACATTCGTTTGTGCAGCGTTCATGTTTTTACTTAACAGCGTACCACTGTTCTACGGAAGCCCAGAGACGACCAGGGGGTAAACAATCTGGGTTGGCAATTTGGGAAGATTACATCCACAAGTCTATGGAGAGGCGGTTTTTAGTTATTCTTTCGCTGTCTGAAGATGTGGCGTATTATACGCTCTTAGACCGATTGTGATTTTGGCTCGTTTTTTTGTATTGAGTTCGTGCGTTTTATGTTGTATTTTGGCTGAAAAGTGTCGATGGTATCTGGCAACAACCGACATGAGACGACGACGAAGAAGAAGTGGTTGCTAAGCTAATAGCGTACATGGTAACCGGTTTCCCCAACAGTTGACTAGAAACAATCAACTCTTTTGGATATCTACATTTATCAATTAAACACGCGTTGGCGTGAACGAAACTGTATCGTCGCCGTGTTAATAATGATGTCGGTATAATTGCGCAGACACATCGGTGAGGAGCATCGAGAGCTAACGTATGCTAACTTATTAGCTTCTAAACTAATAATGTTTGACATTTCCGCTTAACAAATCGATTTTTTCAAACTGAAGCTTTTGCCTGCTTTTTTTCCTCGCGGAATGTTTACGAAAACAATCCAAACAAAGAAAAAGTTTAACCTTCTCTGGCGGATTAACGTGCTAACTTGATACATCCTATATAGCAATACTGTACAGGTTTTGCTGATCGATATTTACTCGTCGATAAATAGATTCTCCCGAAGCGAATGCATAGTGGCTGAATCTTGTATTTATCATGGAGAAGGAACAGCACAATACTGTTGTCTTCAACGCCTCAAAAAGAGAGTTGTTTACCACCAGCAATGGATACAAATCCATACAGAAGCACATTAGGACTCAGTGGAAAATCCAAAGGTTGGTGTGACAGGCTTTTTGTCTTCTGTATAAAACTATTGGCTGGAAATAAACTCTTTTCTCTGATAAATGACTCTTGCAGTATGAAGGAAGAGTTGTCATCCGACAAAGTGAAGGGTGTGAAGTTGTGGATAACGACAGGACCGAGAGAGAAGTTTACAGCATCAGAGGTTAGATTATCAAAAGAAAATTGGTCATTGATAACAGAGTAAACAATGTTCTGTTGTGTGGGGAGGGATAGTAGAAAATATTTAAAATAGTCATATACCTGTTGCTTGATATGCATAGACAGGATGTCATACTGCTGTTGTCTTGTTGCCTTTAAGCTGGAAGTACTGAAACACTACCTGGATGATGGAGGCAATATCCTGGTCATGCTTGGGGAAGGAGGAGAAAAGAAATTTGACACAAACATCAACTTTCTCCTGGAAGAGTTTGGAATTATGGTTAATAATGGTGCATATAAATACAATTTTATTTGTCACTGTTGCAATTGTCGCTTGTCAGTTGATGTTATTGCTACTGAGGTGTGGTTTTGTCGACTTGCCATACGACAGATGCTGTTTTCCGAACCAGGTACTACAAGTACTATCATCCGAAGGAAGCACTTGTGTCTGACGGTGTGCTGAACAGGTGTGCTGTGTTTGAATACGCAAATGAATTATTGTCAATATCAGCTTTATTTATTTCAACTCACAACATCGGCATCATTCTTGTTTAGGGAGATCAGCCGGGCTGCTGGCAAAACAATGCCAGGAATGACTGAAGATGACAATGTTGGAAATAACACACAGTAAATGATTTATTTTCCGATAGAATTCTTTTCAGTCGAATGCTCCATTTTACCTTAAAAAGAAATGGATCAAATCAAACCGAGCCTTTCTGTATTCACCCAAGGGCTCTGTCATTTGTGTACCCGTACGGTGCCACACTGAATGTGATGAAGCCGGCTGTGGCTGTTCTTTCAACTGGCTCCATCTGCTTCCCCCTCCACCGGCCTGTCATGGCCTTCTATCAAGGAAAGGTCAGCACTCTAAATCGTCATTGTGTACCCAGTACCGAAAATACTGACAGAGTGCCGTTGATGTGATGTTTCATGTCTTCAGGGGACGGGCAGATTGGTCGTAGTTGGTTCCTGCCACATGTTCAGTGATCAGTTCATAGACAAGGAGGAGAACAGTAAAATCCTGGTGAGTATGGCTGTGTGCGTATCCTATGCTATCCTCAAAGAGCAGCCTCCACTTTTGGCAGCACTCAACCTCCTCACCCACATCTCCGGGAGAAAGATTACAAGCGGTGTTATGCCGTGTTACTGTGTCACTCCAGGGTGTCGTTCTCCAGTGGCTCATGACGGATAATATTCAGCTGAATCAGATTGATGCGGAAGACCCAGAGGTGAGTCTGTGCAATTCAGCGGGAAAAGACCGTGACATGACAAGAAGTGCGTTGAAAACTGTTGCTTTGTCTCCAATCTAGATCACAGATTACACCATGTTGCCACACATTGGCTGTTTGTCAGAACAGCTCACGCAGTACTTCCAAGAGGGCGACGAAAACCCCAGGGACTTCACCTCTCTTCTGGATGTTTCGTTTTTCAGTCTGTCGACAGATACTTTACCCCAAGTGCTCAGGTAAAATCGGAATGTGTTTGGGAGCATTGCGGCGCTGCAGACTTCCTTCGGTCTTTGCCTGATGGGTGCCCTGTTTTCCACAGTGTTTATAAGCATCTTAACGTCAAAGATGAGCCACTTCAGCTGATCGCACCACAATTTGAGACCCCCCTGCCTCAGTTGCAACCTGCCGTAAGTACCTGCGCTGCATCTTTCAAAAACTGCCGTGGATCAATGACACTGAAGTTGTATTTCGTGACTTAAAGGGGAAGTCAACCCCCCAAAATTTTCTTTACAGTAATATTTTCTGTGCGCCTCCGCTTGTCTAACCACTGCATCCTGATTCAAGTTGCGTTTGTGGAATATGAGTTAAGCAGCAAAATCCACCGGTTTTTAGCCATCTCAGGGTGAGGCCATTTTGCCACTTTCTGTCAACTGAAAATGAGATCGCAGTTGCTCAGGGCTCAAGTTCTGACCAATTATGACTGACTTTTCTGAAGCTGAGCCATGATTGATTGTTAGCCGAGCCCCGAGGAACTGCGATGTCATTTTCAGTCGACTGCAATGGGCAAAATAATCAGAATGTCGTGTTCAGTCGAGCAGGGCTGCAAAGAATATATTATTGTCAAGAACATTTTGGGGTTCACTTCCCTTTTAATAATTCAATATATACTTGAATTAAATCCCACATCTGAACAGTTTTTAACCATTATGACAATTATTACCTCCTCATATATGCCCTGTTAGTTAGGATCCCTCATTTTCAGCCTCTATCAGTTAAGGTGTGGTAGCTGTGGATTGATTCTTCGATCCACAGCTATGCAAGCCTCACTTTTTCCACTTTCTTGATCTCGGACTTGTTCATTCATCAAACACAATGCACAATAGCTGTGCAATTTTAGGTCTCTGTTAAGTGTGTGTGCTGATGCTAAAATTATTTGGTGCAGTGACCCGTGTTTACAGACGAGTGCGCACATACTGGTACTTTACAGCCACTAAGGAGGCACCGCACCGTAACTAATTAGCACATTGGTAGCATCAACAATTGTCTAACAACAACGCGTTTGTGTCTGCATGTCAAACGCACGGATGTGAAATGAGTCAATTTGCTGGTTAAACGTGACCACCCCAAGGTGATTAAAAAGGACGACGGCTTCTTTGTTTGTATAGCGCTTTCACAACAAAGAAATATCAAGGCTACACTGGCACTGATCATGCTCCAGTCTAACCACAAGCCACTTTTCGTTCCTTCAAATTAATTTGATGGAATTGGCTGCAGATGCGATAGTTATGTAGTATAACACGTTGACCGAGGCAGCAGATTTAAAAGAAAATATTTTTATCCACCCTCCAGGTCTTTCCTCCAATCTTGAGCGATTTGTCCCCACCAACGCTGGACCTGTTTGATTTAGATGAAGCGTTTTCTTCTGAGAAAGTGCGCCTAGCGCAGCTCACCAATAAATGCAAGTTTGGTCTTTCAACTAAAAAGGATGGACAGCTGATGCTTAAAGGGATAATGCTGACATTCTTACCTGGCTCTGCTTACAGGCACGGATGACGACCTTGAGTTTTACATCAGGAAATGTGGTGAAATTCTGGGCGTGACTCCCAAGTTGGACAAAGATCAGAGGGATGCGAAGCACATATTGGAGCACATTTTCTTCCAAGTTGCAGAGTTCAAGAAACTCAATCAAGTGCGAGCACTTAGAAAAGGACACTAACTGTACATTTAAGTACTCAACTAATTATAAGTTGTTGTCTTTCAGGAACATGATGTCAACACTGAGGGACCACGGTTCACCCCTTCTTGACTGCATCAAAATTACTTTTAATGTTTCAGAATTTTTTTAATAAACATGATCAATTACTCTGCTAGTGTTCACATATTTTTTGTTGACCTCAAGAAGCACCTTCCACCCATCCATCCACCCATTTTCCTCACAAGGATCGCAGGCATGCTGAAGCCCAGACCAGCTCTCTCCGGGCGGTAAGCTGGGTGCATCCTGAACTGGTTGCCAGCCAATCACCGCGCAAACATATATGAACAACTATCCGCACTCACAATTACATCTAGGGACAATTTATAGAGTGTTCCATTAACCTGCCATGCATGTTTTTGTAATGTGGGAGGAAACCAGAGTACCCAGAGAAAACCCACGCATGCACCAGGAGAACAAACTCCACACAAGAAGGCCAGAGCCAGATTCCAACCTTGCACCTCTGCACTGTGAGGCTGTCGTGCTAAACAGTCGTCCATCATGCCGCCCTACAAGAAGCACTTTTTTTTAACCATATTTTATGTCCATTAAAATGCAAACAATATTGTCAATATCAAAGTACAGTAATTGGTAATTTCCATAAGTCCTTTTGTGTAGAACTTTTGGATCATATTTATCTGTTGCCTCAGGTGTGCGGACTCTTTCAATGCTCTATAAATACAATGGAGTTGAGTTGTTGCTGTCCAACCCAAAAGTTATCAGTCTTCAGCAAAAATCAAGGGATTATTAAGATTAAGATATCCTTTATTTGTCCCACACTGGGGAAATTTACAGTCTACAGCAGCAAGATTGTGGGTAGAAAGAAGAAAGTTCCAATATTTTTGGAGAAAAATAGCTCCGGCATTAACGCATGTTAGTGATGCAAAATCCACAGGTTGACAGCTGCATGCTACTACTGTAGCGTTATTATAAAATGGGAATAGTAAACTTCTAACACTTAACTACCGGAAGTAGTTTTTTTAACTGGTGCACTGTTTGGTCTCACGTCCCCTAGTATGCCAACTTTGTATAAAAGTACATCTATTCGACGGCTATCAAGTATCTCGAGTAAATGCTCAATGGGCTTTTCATCGTGGTGGTCGGACAACCCTTGGTCGGACTAGTTGGACGACGTTGCGTCGGCGCGCATATGTACTGCGCATGACGTCACCATCCGTTCAACGTCTCCGGAAGGGCGCGAGATAGAAATCCAGTAGCGCGGAGATCCAAGACAGGCGGGCGGGTGCGCGCGCGCGGGGGACCTGTTAGCTGTCTCGGTGCTACAGATTTGCGCAAACCAGCACCAAGCCTGGAAACAAAATCAACATCTGGTCACTTCATAAAAGCAGTGCATCCCAAAACTTTTTTTTTTTTGCACATGACGTGCAAGGGCAGCGGGACAAGCCGTCGGATCGACAACAACTGAAGAAAAAGGGGGGAAATGTCCTGGTGGCCGCGCGGGTAAGAAGCCGATCGTTGTTATTGAAATGAACTGTCTAAAGTCGACACTATTTCTTTGACTCCGACAAATTGTACGCGTTGACGTTCCAAATAAGACATCGGATTGACTCCTGCAATCCGTTCGGTTCTGTTGGAGCATATTTGACGTCAGTCACTGCAGTGTATGCCGCCTTTCCTTTCCCGGCCGGACCTTTACGAACCAACAGGCTCCAGCGTTGCACATTTCCTGCTTTTCTTTCGGGGATTCTTCTGTAGGTTGACGGAACCAAATAACCCGAATTCTAGCCTCCACGCCGACTCCTTAACGAGCAGTCATAATTTAACCGGTGACAAGAAATGTATCTAAATTTAACCGAGCTAGCGAAATCAAACTAGTTATGTTTTTTTTTCCATTCGCACGACTTTTCCACCCTTTATTGCCATTGCCCCCTCTGATTCTGTTCCTTGTTTGATGGTGTTTGAGCCATTTCTTTGATGTTTTCAGAAGAAGTTGGCCAGATCAAGCCACCGGATTCTCCTTAGGACTCTGGCCTTTCTCACTTTTTAATTATGTTTTTCGACATAATAGAGCAACCTGGTGTTATTTCCCCAACGATTAAACATGAGGTGGTGCAACACTTGCTTAAGAAACCTGGCATTATTTGTATTATGCAAGCATGCTCTGTGGATTGACTGAGATCCTACCTTGCACACAGAACTGCTTAAGATTCTGAAGATGTGATTTCTGCTCTCTCCTGCTGTCTTTTGGTGTTCTACAAGGTTTCTTTTTTTGTGTGTTTCAAAATTATGTTCTGTTCAATTGTCTTGTGTTCAATTTGTATTTATATGCAGCACTTTGTTTCATGACAGTGTTCTTAAGGTGCTGTTTAATGAATAAATTAATTATTATTATTATTTTTTTTTTAGTGAGGAGGGGGAGGAGAGCCAGCATCCTGACACTGATTCGGATGTTGCAGAACAGAGAGATGGTGGCAAAGTGAAAGTAAAGTGGACACAAGAGGAGGTGATGTGACACGACGTTGATATTCTTTGAATACATTCGCATCATGTTGCAGAATTTAGGAGTCTTTAGTAAGACGAAATATTCTTCATCACCTACAGGATGACAAGCTAAAGGCACTGGTTCAAAAACTTGGACAGAATGACTGGAAGAATGTCGCCACCCATATACCAGTGAGTTGTTTTTAATATTCTTTCAACCCGGGAGAATATTTAACCAATGTGTGCGAGGTTCTGTTGATATCTGAATGACTTGTGTTCTTTTCATGTTTAGAATCGCACCGAAAACCAATGTCAACACCGCTGGCTTAAAGTTTTGGATCCCGACCTAATTAAAGGCCCTTGGACAAAAGAAGAAGATGACAAGGTAGTTTGTTATTTGGTACCTCGTTTGACGGAAGACACTTGCAGGTCACATTCCATGCTTTGTGTTCCTCAGGTCATAGAGCTTGTCAATCTCTACGGTAACAAACAATGGAGTGTCGTCGCCAAGCATCTGAAGGGCAGGGTTGGGAAGCAGTGTCGAGAGCGTTGGCACAACCATCTCAACCCCAGCGTGAAGAAATCTTCATGGACAGCTGAGGAGGACCTCGTCATCTATAAGGCTCACTGCGTCCTTGGAAATCGCTGGGCTGAGATTGCAAAGCTCTTGCCAGGAAGGTAACTTTGCCGTGCTGGGCCGTTTTGAAATTGCTGCCGTTTTTCATAGGCGCGTTGACATCCTCTGCGGGAATGTTATCAAACAGGACCGATAACGCCGTCAAGAATCACTGGAACTCAACAATTAAGCGCAAAGTCGAAATGGGCTTCTACTCAAGGCAGGATTTTAAACCAAGCGAGCTTGAAGAGCTGCTCGCCCATGTGAAAGATATGCAGGTGAGGTATTTTCTTAAGTCATCACGTGCTTGCTGGAATGAATACGTTATTACACATTTATATGCAGGATATACATTACTGTACCCTCCCTATGTTAAGATTTTGATGATGCAGATGCCCACTTGCTCTCAAGATCATGCTGACCCGGATTCAGAGCAGGAAACGCACACCCCAGTAAGCACTCGCGCATTTTGTTGAGCGTTTCACGGCTGTCGCATGAGTCCATTCTGAGTTACGGCTGTCATTCCACAAAGTCAGTCTCCAGTGTACTGTCAGTGCGCTAAATGTCTTTACCTTCACACCTTGCAGGAAATGTCAGACTTAACCACCGTCAATGGTGACGATGAGGCGGGTCCTTCCCGGGTTGTGCCCTCTCCGAAGGACGCGGCAAGTCTTGTGTCAGAGGGGGACAACGCAGGAGAGATGAATTGCACCAACTGGGTTGTGGACAACTCTGGATTTCTCTCCCCTGCGGGGCCTGTCCTGAGGGAGGTCCTGGACATGGTGGATGGGGTAGGAAAACTGAACATCCAAGCAGAGCGCCCGCATTTGAGCACCGTGTTGAAAGTACAGGGCTTCAAATTCCCCCCGTGATGAAGTTTGACTTTTGTTATTTACACAGGATTTCATAAAATCAAATTGATGATATATAGGACTAGTCCTTTGACATCGCACTTGCTTCACATTTATTCCAATCTTTGAATTTAGATGAGTCATTTTGAAATCAGAAATAATACATAGCAGGTAAGAGTAATAAATAAATAAATAAATACAAAACTGATTTCCACAAAGAATCACCCAAGAGAATTAGGCCAGCCTGTGGAGCAAGGTGTGGAACGTACATTTATTTTCACCAATTACATTATGATGCCGGTCAGCACGGTGATCGACTGGTTGGCACGTCGGCCACACAGTGCAGAGGTGTGGGGTTCGATTCCGGCCTTCCTGTGTGGAGTTTGTATGTTCTCCCTGTGCACTGCGTGGGTTTTCTCCGGGTAACCCGCTTTTCTCCCACGTTCCAAAAACATGCACCATAGTTTGATTGAATGCTCTAAATTGTCCCTAGGTGTGAGTGTTAGCGCGGGTGGTCCTGCGATTGGCTGGCAACCGGTTTAGGGTGTCCCCGCCTACTGCCCGAAGACCGACTGGGATCGGCTCCAGCATGCCCGTGACCCTCGTGAGGATAAGCAGATTAGAAAATGGATGGAAGTTGTGATGCCATCATCGGGCCACTCGCCTACTCATCCGGCGAACCGGAAAGTTCCCTTAACTGATGTACAACACGAATGCGACGCTCCACAGAACAGTTCAGCCCTTTGCCTGTTGTGGTCGCATCGTTTAAACTTAGCACCAACTTCGGGCTTTTGCACAGTGTGATACAGTTTATCAATTTTTGGGCGCAAAATGCTTTTTTTGTTTGATAGGACCTCGATGGCTGGTGTAACCTTGCAGCATTCGACTTACCTGAAGAGAGCCACAGCCCAGAACGCCACCAGTTCCGTCTTGAAGGCAGCGCCCTGCAGGAGTTAAGCAAAGGCAGCAGAGGCGAACTCATACCCATCTCTCCCGGAGGGATCACGCCTCCATCCATATTGAGTCATCGAAGTCGGAGACGCTTGTCTCCTGATGCGAACAGCTTAATGACGCCAAAGAGCACACCAGTCAAGATTTTGCCCTTTTCACCCTCTCAAGTGAGTCATCTTACTCTGGCTACGTTGATTCTGTCGTCCGTGAAAGTCAATGCGTCTTCATTTCTAAATGTTGCCTCAGTTCCTTAACATGTGGACGAAGCAGGACACTCATGACCTGGAGAACCCATCGCTCACATCCACACCGGTGTGCAGCCAGAAAGCCATCGTTACCACACCTCTGCAGAGGGACAAGACCCCGATCAATCGAAAGGAAAACTCTGCGTGAGTCCTCACTTCTGGTGACCTACTGTCTGCTATTTCTTTGTGTCAAGTATTCACACTTTGTCTTTGTGTAGGTTTGTTACACCCAACCACAAGTCCGAGCTTTGCACGATGCCACGTACTCCAACGCCATTCAAAAATGCCCTGGAGAAATACGGCCCTCTGCAACCTCTGGTGAGGTTATGTCTCTGGGTGACCGCAATTTCAACTGAAAGCTGTTACAAGATCCATATGGGGACATTTTGGGACATGTGCTGCCATCTAAGCAGTCTTTTTCATGGATGCCCCATGTTTATTTCAGCAAAGCAAAGCCAAACCACATTCTGTACGTGTTACAACAGCATGGCTTCATAGCAAAAAAAGTGCGAGCACTAGAATGGCCTGCCAGCAGTCCAGACCTGTCTCCCATTGAAAGCGTGTGGCACACAAAACGTGACAACAGAGACCCTGGACTGTGGCATGACTGAAGTTGTACATCAAGCAAGAATGGGAAAGAATTCCACCTACCAAGATTCACTAATTAGTGTCCTCAGTTTCCAAACTCTTATTTAGCGTTACAACAAGGACAGTTGATGTAACACACTGGTAAACACGTTCCTGTCGTGGCTTTTTCTGAAACGTGTTTCAGGCTTCAAATTCAAACTGAGTTAATCTTTGTAGTTAGGTCTGGGCGTCTGTGAGTATGTCACTGTGTTGCTATTGCATTCAGCCGAGTGGTTCATTTAATTTGGGATATGACCTATGAGTACAAGCAGTTTACAAATGGCCAATTTCCAGCCTGGCCAACATATCACGTACTGTAGAAAGTTTTCTCTTCTGTTGTCTCAGCCTCAGACTCCGAACCTTGAGGACGACATTAATGAAGTGATCCTGAGAGATGTGGGTATTGACTTGGCGGTTCAACTTCCAGCTGTTCCTGAGCAAAGACGCAAAGCAGTGGTAACTGTTTAATTCTCTCATATACGGACCTTTGTTGGATTTTATGTTATTTTGTTAGAGTGCCAAATGCACTTTTCCTAATGACCTGGGGCTTGCCACTATTGTTGCGTTCCAATTCGTGTTGACGAAAGTCCGGGTGCTGTCGTAAGCTTTTCGCGAAATTGTATTTTTGCTTACCCGCAGAGGCCTAACGTTTTTGTGCTAACACTGAATGCTTCGAGTCAAGACGGTAACAACTCTAAACGGTTCCAAATAGCATTCAGTATTAGTACAAAACGTTCAGGGTTCGGAAAAGAAATGTCAGCAAAAGCTACTCGAAAAACCGGAGGCAATTTCACTGGCGTCGGGTGTGTGCTGACTCGGATTTGACATGAATTTGAATGTGATTGCTTTCTGACCTTAGCCACATCCCAATGATAAGGTGCTCTTTATTTTTACTTCCTCACGCAAAGATTTTTTGAAAAACAGTGAATATGTGCAGGTCATGGCTCAGATTGTTGCTTTAAATCGATTGTCTTGGCCTTATTTTCTGCAAGGCTTTAGACCGGGCTTCTTTCTCAGACATCTTTAACCCAGGCAGAAAACTGAATTGATCATTTGGACTTGTTGATTGGATGTTGTTCCCAGCATCGCCCTCCGATGAAGAAAGTCCGGAAGTCATTGGCACTTGATGACTGCCAAGTGATGCCCAAGTCCAAACGCAAATCTAAGACTGAAGCCAAACATTGCATCAAGGTGACTACTGCAAAGAACAAAAAAAAAAACATGCTATTATCATGCATTTCATTTTGCTTTATGCATAATTCATTCATGGTTTTTGTTTGCTTGCAGGAAGAATCGTTGTCGGTTGCCGAGAGCGCCTCTTGTTGTCGTAAAACCCATGAAAATATTTTGGATCAGGGATTCCTTTTGGGGCCAAGTGACAGTGCTATCTTTCCCAGTGCGGTGCCCCCAATTCCGGCAAGTTTCACCTTCAGATAACTGATGTTTTGTTGTCATTGTTTTTTTTCCTCCCCTTGAAAAAGTATCTGATGTTGCCTAATGCGTTTGCCATCCTTTTCTTTCTCGCTAGATGTCCAAAGAATGGGAGGCGGTTGCATGTGGGCAAACAAAAGATCAGCTCATTATGACGGAGAAAGCAAGGCGCTTCCTGCGCTCCATAACATCGCGGACGACAAACAGAGCTCTGGTCTTGTCCTGAGACTATTTGCACCTTTGTACCAAGTTGTTACACAAACACAACAGAATGTTCTGTTGTTTGCGTTTGAAGAAAAGTACTGTATGCGCCTTGTAAATGTGACAACATGTTGGAACAACTTACGAGTCGTCTGCATGTTTACATGATAGCTTAAATCGAAAACTTCTGCAGGAACACATTGAGATGTAAATGCTTTTAGATTTTGTCGAATTCTAAAGGCCATTTTAAGGCTTGAAATCAATATAATTGCATTTCATTATAATTGCAGTCAAACAACTTTGTAAATAAATAGTTGAGCATTCAACTAGGAAAATTATGCCTGATTCTTTCGCAATCAATGAAAATGATTTTACAATGCAAATGTTTGTCATTTTTTTTCTTCACTGGTACACATAGGTTTCATTCATTCATTTTACAAACCGCTTTATCCTCACTAGGGGTACTGGAGCCTATCCCAGCTGTCTTCGGGCAGTAGGCGGGGGACACCCTGAGTCGGCTGCCAGCCAGTTGCAGGGCACACAGAGACGAACAATCATCCACGCCCACACTCACACAAAGGGACAATTCAGAGTGCTCAATCAGCCTGCCATGCATGTTTTTGGAATCTGGGAGGAAACCGGAGTACCCGGAGAAAACCCACGCAGGCCCGGGGAGAAAATGCAAACTCCACACAGGAAGGCTGGAGCTGGCATTGAACCCGGTACCTCTGTGCTGTGAAGTCAACGTGCTAACCACTGGATACCGGGCCGCCCCACATAGGTTTCAGTTCTCCCAAAACATGAGCTTTAGATTTCTTGTGTGAAAAGAGGAATGTTGAGGAGCATTGTTGATGAAAATCTCTGCTTGTCCACCAATGACCGAATCCACCTCGAACATATGATCATGCAAAGTTGAATTCAAGAAAGACCTTTTGAGTTATACATCAGTTTAATTTTAATCGCAAACATTTTAATTGTGTCCTTTACACTTTTTGTGACATGACATGCCACCAAGAAAATAACCAAATCCACAATATTCCTTTCTACGGAAGAGGATTAGGTAATTAAGTCTTGAACGAGAAATAAATATTTTTGAGCAGGTTTTCGTGACTTCATTCTCGTCTTGTCTCGCCTCTAAGAAACAAATAATTGTGTCAAATATAGATGATTGGTTGGAGACAATCTGTGTCCTTTCATGACTTCCGGAACACTTATGAATGTTAAAATGTGACTATTATTGTGAAACGCAAATCGGAAGTCACATCGATCTTGCCGGGTCGAGCCGCGCACCGGAAGTAATCGTCCCTTCTGGTGACGCTGCATTAGACTCCCTTGGCATGGAACTGTTCAGTGAGTGAATGAATCGTTGCTTTGTCATACCTTGAAGTCGTTTTCAATCGATTTAATGGCCATCCAATTAGGTATGCGATGAGGTGCTGCACGACGCCGATTAAATGGGAAAGTAGCTCACAGGCGTCTGGATCAGAGTGCCGCTTCCTTACTGTCGTTAGCTCGCTTTTGCTGTGTAGTGAACGTCTGCAATGGAAGCGCGACCAAATGAAAAGCATCGTTGTGTTTATGAATTCACATCGAAACGTACATGATCAACTTTTGGTGGAGAGTCAACTTTTATTTGCGTGTGTTCACAGGGCTTTTCGGGTTGGTGCTCCTCAGCCTGGCACTCGCTGGAGCTCAGACGCTCACACCGGGTCACTATCTTTCCCTGTCCGATATTGCTCGACTTCAAAATCTCCTCAGCGAGCCGTTCACAGACCTGGAGTCGGCCTACTACTCCGTTGTCGGCCTCAACAAACTCGGAGCCACTGTTCCTGATCACGAGGCACGTAAAGCCTTTATAATCCTCATCTTTTATTTTTGGCCACGTCTTGCCTGACATTATATTGACATTACTGATATATATATATATATATATATATATATATAGAGAGAGAGAGAGAGAGAGAGAGAGAGAGAGAGAGAGAGAGAGAGAGAGAGAGAGAGAGAGAGAG